TTTTTTTTTTTTTTTTTTGCAGGGCACATATGATTATTTATGCAGCATAATGAAATAAATCGTTATATTTACAGAGTGTCTTTGGTTCTTTAAAGACTCTTAAGTACTGTAATTTCACAATATGTCTGCTATCCCCAGAGCGTTTCAGTGATTACTACATCACCATGTTGCTTTTTGCCAAATTACTTCATTAAATAGCCACAGCGTGTCTACAAAACATACCTAGGGCCTGTAATTGTTTTTTTTTCTTTTTTTTTTTTTTAAAGAGTAGCCAATTGATGATAGAGCCAAATTCATTTAGGGTGAATGCAGTGACAATGGAAACCGTGCACAGCCTTTCTCTGGAAAACACCCAAGTGCTGATGTCGTGGGGCCGAGAAGGTTGGCTCTGTGCTGTCATCCCCCACTGGCTTATGGAGTAATGCCCCACAAATCACCCGAGATGATATTCACTCCTGGTTTCCTCTTTGTATAACAGGTTTGTCTAGCGTCACAGCTCACCATTCTATCAAGCCACACGTTTGAGGAGGAACGCGGGAACACCTGGGCAGCTCAGCCAGTTAAGCGACTCTTGATTTCAGCTCAGCTCATGATCTCACGGTTCATGGGATCAAGCACTAAGTTGGGCTGTGTGCTGACAGCGCAGAGCCTGCTTGGGATTCTCTTTCTCCCTCTCTCTTTCCCCCTCCCCTGCTCGCTTTCTCCCTCTCTCTCAAAATAAATAAACATCAAAAATAGAAGAGGGATGCTAAGGACAGGCATGCCTACAGTCTTGTTTGTAGATGGTTGACAAATCTCATGCAAGATTGCCATTGTACTTTGGTCTGATGATCTGTTGTCAACATTTTGCAATTCTTTTTTTTTTTAACTTTATTGATTTTGAGAGTGTGCATGTAAGCAGGGGAGGTGGAGAGAGAGGGAGAGAGAGAGAGAGAGAGAGAGAGAGAATCCTAAGCAAGCTCCATGCTGTCAGCACAGAGCCCAATGTGGGCCTCAATCTCACAAACCATGAGATCATGACCTGAGCAGAAATGAATAGTTGGATGTTTAACCGACTGAGCCACCCAGGCACCCCGACATCTTGCATTTCTTAATACCTGTGTTTTCATTTTTCGCTGGGCACAAAAATGACGTCGCTGGTTCGGGCACCCGGCACCAGCCTGGAACAAGAGGGATATGTGATGCGTGTCACTGCTTTCCTTCTTTCCTGCTAGAGTCTTGGTTTGTGCTGTTCTACTGCTCACACCTGACGCCCCAGATGTTTCCGGGCCACCTGTCAGGAGCCCATTGCCATGGGGACTGTTAGAACCTCAGCCCTTGTGCTTGACACGTCCCCAACAACATGGGCGAATCCTTGTTTGTCCCACTGAACCCCATCAAGGGTGCTCATCTGCATTCCTGCCACGGAGACGGGGAGGTAAAACAGGCATTTGTGGGGTGTGAGAAGGCCCGAGAAGGCCTGACCGACCATGCAGGAGGCACAGACCCTGTCCCTTCAGCACTTTTCAGCAGCGAGGAGCCACGAGCCTTGTTAAGAGTTGGGACCACTGCACAGAGAAGCCAGTGCCAACTTCCAGGTACACGACGCAGAAACAAAAGCGGTCCAGCCAGGTTACACCCCACAGAGGACGCCTCCTACAGAAAGTGCAGTTGCTGGTGACTGGATCTGTCGTTACTCACAGTTCAGAATATACATATTGGCCTTGGAGAGCTGACCTCACAAAACATACCTACACTATTGTTTCTCTGGGGAAAAATGCTCTGTGAGTTGTAAATAATTCTAAGTAGGCGATTTGCAAATCAGTTGTGGGGCCGTAATCCATTTCTGAATAATATACGCCCACCCCACCCCTGCCAAATCTCATGAAATCCTTGACAAGAAACAGTTACTAGTTGAAAGATTCTAGCTTAAATATTCAGTATCTACTGCTGTGTCTTTCCAAACAGAACAGTAGTGATTTGGAGACTGCACTAGAAAAAAGAAAAGAAACATGTAAATGTCAGAAAAGCTCCCAATGCCCAAGTTCTGTTGGAAGAAATGGTAATATTCTAAATGGCGACCTTTTTCGCCTTTTTCAACAGAAGATAAGGCGTACCTGCTGTCCCAAGCTGCTGCCGTCGCATTATATATGCAGACCATGTTGCTAGCACATGAAATGTGTCGCTCCTGTTAGCAACATCGTGGGGACAAATTAGAATCCTCCCAAGCTGCAGGCTGGTCTCCTCTGTAATAACCAGAGGGTTTGCTCCTCTGAAAAATAAGAGTGCAACCTTATTTTTATTTTTTTCAAGTAAAGTCTACCCCCAACATGGGGCTTGAACTCAAGACCCGAAGATCAAGCCACACGCTCCACAGACTGAGCCAGCGAGGCGTGCTCCACAGTGCAACCTGAGAAATGATTTTTATAGCATATGACAGAGCATCGTGAATAATTTATTTGCAGCCTGTACGTGCTCACGAATGTAGACTTCCCTGGAAGTTAAATTTGCTAATGACCTGGTCGTCTACAATTAAAATAGCGATTTGGGGCGCCTAGGTGGCGCAGTCGGTTAAGCGTCCGACTTCAGCCAGGTCACGATCTTGCGGTCCGTGAGTTCGAGCCCCGCGTCGGGCTCTGGGCTGATGGCTCAGAGCCTGGAG